CACCATCACACCTCTGCTGCGCCACAAGAGAGACACCCCCCCAAAACTAAAAACCAGTATCTGTGTGTGTGTCCATACTGGAGCTGATGAAGCTCAGCTCAGCTCCACACATCAGTGAGTGACAGCTCCGGAAACAGAAGGAGGAGGAGGAGGAGGAGGAGGAAGAGGAAGAGGAGGAGGAGGAGGAGAGCTCCCCCCCCTGCGCAAAGCTCCGGCTCTTCGGCGCCGGTGTGCGCACAGCTGAGCGCGTTTGTCACGTAGGCTGCGATGTTCTAGAGAAAATCCCGGGAAGAAAAATCAGCTGATCGCCGGTGAGTCTCCTCTTCAGCTCCACAACATGGTCTTCTGTGCTACAGCAGCGGAGAACGGAGGCGGAGGAGGAGGTGCAGGGGGAGCAGGAGGCGGAGGACACCGCTGATTCACGGCTTTGCAGGAGAAAAGGCGGTGAAAGGTTCATCTCCAGCCTTGAACACCAGCCCCCCCCGCCCCCCATTCCTTCATTCCTTCATTTCTTCATTTCTCCCTTCCTTCCTTCTATCTTCCCTCGCCCACCTCCTCCTGATCCCTCCTCCCTCGGCGTCACTGACAGCTCTGCGACCCGGTCAGTCCGTCAGACAGACGGGGAGGATCTGGGGAGGAGGACAAGGCGATCACCTCTGGGCCGCTCTGATCCAATCGCCAATACCAGGCTGTGGAGAGGAGAGGAGAGGGACAACCTGCTGAGGCTCCGTGCACGAGGAGTAGGGAGAGAAGGAGGAGGAGGAGGAGGAGGAGCAGCGGCAGCGCCTGCTCCGTGATCGTGGGCTGGATATTTTTGGACTCCACAGATCAGAACACTGTTGGCAGATCTTGATCCAAACAGCAGAAAAATACTAAAACCAAACCGTGGGGACGGGCAGGAGGACAGAGACACACACTCTCACACTGATTTACATCTGAACTCCCCGGGAACAACACATCCAGGTAAGGTTCTCAGGGTTTTACGCATGACGCAAACTCCAAAGAGTTGTGAGATCATGAGTGATGCAGCTGCAGCTGTAGAGGTCTCTGCTGGACCGTCTGTCAGTGCTGCCGCTGTACTCAGTGTCGGTGGTGCAGGTGAGCAGATAAGGCTCCGACCTGCTGATATGATCCACTGACTCAGATGGCTCCGTGATAGTGTCTAATGGGTGTGACATTAAAATAATTGGCGTCTGTCAACGCCACTTAACGGACCGCGGTGGTTACAGCGGCTGCTGAGGCTCCCCGACGTCTGATTGGCTCAGCAGCTGATTTCTCCTTCTTTTCGTGTTACACAGGACGTTTTCTTCCCGGGCAGTAGATGTATTGCGTTTGTGCTGGTTTCTGGTGGCTGCACGGTCTGTAACTGCTGAATCAGGAGCAGAGTTTCCCAAAGAATCTCAAACGGACAGAGTTCCAAAGGAAGAGCAGCGGTCATTCTGCTGGTGTTAGAGGCCCATGGGTTCTCACTGTAGTTCACTAACAGGATGTATGTTCAAACACTGTCACTGTTTTCTGGATACAGATACGACTGTGCGTTTTGTCTCTAAATCTGCTCAGAATGTCATCGCACACGGGCGTCAACATGAACCGCGCCATAGCAGGACATCCTTTACAGGGGTATCTAGGCAATTCAGTTTCTTTTAAAGCAAAAGAACAATGGGATGAAGTCAAAAAGTTCTCAGACAGATGAGTTTGAACACTTAGAAAAATCTCTCTCTTGGACCAGCGTCACGATCACTTCTTGGTCGTGAGATTTCAGATGCTCAAAAATAGTTTTGATCTGTTTTGTTTGTTCAGATTGAAATTAAGGATGTGTAGAGAAGAATCTTGTTAAATTTATAAATAATGATGTTTTGACTTACCTTTGTATTTTAGAATCGTGCGTAGCCACGTAAGTCGGAGAGAAACCCCAGGTTCTGGGCTGGTTTTCAGTGTGAACTTTGCCAACTTCATGACGTATCTGTTAGTTTCACAGCTGCTCTTATATAATATGAACAAATCTTTGCAGATATGCAATTATACCTTCAACAATTTGCATCGCCCCCTGGTGGTTGACTGCTTTATCTGGTGGAACTACAGTACTTTAGATTCTGAACTGGATCGCTGTGTACATTTAATTTATTTGATAAAACGAAGTTTTACAGCCTGTCAAAGACTTCTCCAAGTATGTCAGTGAACTCTGGTGACCTCTGCTGACCAGAAACAATCAACAGAAAAACTCTCAGTATTCAAAAAATTCCATTTACTTCAGTGTTTATTGTCTTTTATGCCCAGACTTTTGGAGATGCTAAACCAGTTCAGATTAGGATACAAATAACTTAGGATCCAGTTCTGATTAGGATACAAATAACTGTCTTAGGTATAAATCAAAAGAGTAATTCATTTGTACATTTTCTTAATAGGAATCTTAATAAGTAAATGATCAACTATTTACAAGAGTTGTTTAAAAAACAAAGTGTTGATTCTGTAGTTTCAAATCTTGAGGAACTGAGGAACTACAGCGCCCCCTATTTTCCAGGAAGGTCTACTGTCTCTATACTTCCTACAAAACAAATCCTCATTGAAGAAGAAATCTATTCACAAATCATATATCAATCAATATTACATTTACTTGACCAGTCAGGCCCCGTTCCTTACAGTAACTCTGCAGCCCCCCGCCCCCTATGTTGGTAACCAATACGATAAATTGATGACCCAAATGGAACCTCTTTTTGTTTTATTTGTGGGTCCCAACCCAGTGTTTGGACTTGATCACAGCGGTCCAGTGAAGTAGTTCTCTCAGTTTTGGCCACAGACCGACCCAAATCTCACACATCGGAGCTGTAAGGCGTGTGTGCTGTACATGCGTTCAGGCCTCCAGTCTGTCATGAGGGGGCGGTGTTGGAGCAGGAGCAGGGATTCCCCCCTCAGGTACTGCCATCTCTGTAGTGAGCTGAACAGCCTGGAGATGATTAATCAGCAACAGCTGAGGCTTCTGTGCGTCTGCTGAGTCCATGTTTACGCACATCTCAAATAGCCTCTCTGAACAAGAGCCGCCTTCCAAAATAGGGAAAGGGAACGTGATCCGTGTCACTCAGCAACTGTCTCGGTGTGTGTGTGTGTGTGTGGGTGTGTGCGCTTGGTTATTACACTGTAAATCGGAATCTTTCACACGTAAAATCTCTGCTTAATCTAATCAGACCAATGGTCGTAGAGGAGTCAGAGAGATGTGGACTGATCATATAAATAGAAATCGTCTGGATATTTAATATTTAAGAGATTTGATTTGGTCTAAAATGTAATGAAATCATTTTAAATGTGCATGAAAAAAACGAATGATGAACTGACCTGGTTTGATTCAGTGTCTCAACTCTAGACCGGTTGTTTAGAATCTTTAATCATTTCTTAGCCGTGCATTAGCGACCGACTTCACTAATTATTTTATGTTCCTGCCAACCAACAGTTGGACTGATCTGCTTTTCATTTGAGCTCCGTCGACGATTCATTGTTGGGACGTTCTTATTGTGGATTATTTCTAGACAAACGTCGTTTGGAAAGAGCTGAATGTGATCATTAGGTTTTTGGCATCTTTTTTTTAGAAAAACCCAAATTCTGTTTTCTGTTTTTTTGTTTGTTTTGGCAGTCGTTGGGTTCGATTACCAGAGGTACCACACGCATGGCGCCTCCTGGGGGCAGCCTGTTAACAACCAAGCTGCTGCTAACACAAGAATTTCCTAAATATGGGATCAATATAGTTCAAATAGTTATTAATTCTTATTATTATGATGCACATTTCAAGTTTCTGCCAAAGGTCCACTATTGGTCCCCGGACCAGATTTTGAACCCACCTTTTGACCTTTGACCTTTGTGTCTTCTTAAACTTCAGTAAACAATGAATGTGTTTTCCTTATTTACCTGCTCATAACAGTCAGAATAATCCATAGTTGTGATATGAAAGTACTATATATATAGTGTACTGTACTCTGTACAGGCAGAGTGTGTGTGTTTTTATTTAAATACAGTAGGGCTTCGTGATACGAGCGAGTTATGAGAGTTACTTTTCCACTTCTCCACTCGCTGGGTTATTTTATCCATTTCTATAACAGTAATATAAAATGTTTTCTTAATTATTATTATTTATGATAGCAAAATATTTGTTTAGGTGGGGATTTTAATTTAATTAATTTATAGTATATTTCTGGGCACTGCAACAAATGAATTGGTTTTCAGTTTTTTTGTAATGAGGAAAATGCGGTCGAGATACGAGTGCAGTTGTGGTACGGATTAAAGTAGGGTCTCAGAGCCCCACTGTACTGGAGTTTTGGTTCCAGCGAAGGATTTTCTCTGATTCCTCATCTCCACACTCACATTTTTACACCCTGCAGCCAAGGTTTCACATTAAATACAGCATGGCAGCTCGGACACTGCTCATATATCTTATTGTATTATAAATATTGAGGAAGGTCTGCATATTTATGAGCTTTAATATTTCAGTCAATACCACAGAGCCGTACAAACTGCCGGCTTTTATGTTGTGCCGCAGACAGGGGTGGGTTAAAAGTGTGGTAAATCCACTTTAAGTGGGTTCAGTCTCTACTGTTCCAGGTTGAACAGGTCAATGATGGATTTAATTGGAATCTTTTCAAAGCTCGGCCTCAGCCTTAACTCACACACAGCAGTTATGGTTTGGCCGCGGCCTCTGGACGCTGACAGGCTGCTGCTGCTTCTGTATTCACCCTGTACAACACGCTGATTAGTGTGCAAATTGTTTTGCGCAGCTCCTAATTACAGGGTCACGGTTCTAATGGTGAAACACACACAGATAGGCCTAAAGTCCATTCTTCTCTCGACGCACATTGTGTCAATAGTGAAAAGAATTTACACTGGAGAAGGAGGATCTCCGCGCGGCCGTACGGCTAAAGAGTCTGGAGTGCTTTAAATGTGATCTTTGGAATGAGCTTCACATCATGGCTGAAGATTACATTTCCTCTGAATTGACTCTTTCCTCGGTCGATGAATCAATCAGTCGGAGCGTTTTAGCCACAGAACCTACATTTGTGCAGCGTTCCAGCTGAGTTTAAAGATGATCTATAATGGGGACGTCCTAGTCTTCACTTGTCCTTCTGTGTCCACAGCTTTGACATGTTTTGGTAAAGTAGAACTCTGAGTGTTAATAACAGTCGTTTCGACGTCCACACAGAACTATTTGACAAAACAAAACCCAAAAAATTCTGCCTTTTAGAAGTGAACCTAGATGAGGAGATTTTCTAACATGATTGTTCTGTTGGTTTGCTCAAAATGTCCTTACATGTGTCGTGCAACATAATGGAACGTCTCATACTACTACTATACTATACTACTATTAAGTTACAAATGTTTGTAATTCTTGAGGTCTTACCTTCTTCTTAAAAAGTGATTTTACTTTACATTTGTGTAAGTACTGCGACCAAAGGAGGCGCTGTAGGACAGAAAAATCCATAGAAATGTACTCCTTACCTTTCTAGGATCCTTCTCCTGCTGTGAAAGCAGCTCAACCAGAAAATCTCCCAATTTATTCATCACACAAGAACTGTTGTCTGACACTAACTGTAAAGAATGTGCAATTTTCCACATTCCACTGTTTTCCCCAAAAACATTCTACAGAGAATCCAAGAACAGCCTATAGATCCAGTGTGACCTGTTATGTCAATATCTCTCAGATCTATTATATTGATTTCATTTCAGTTATTTTCTTCTGTATCGCTGTAAACTCTCTCCGTGCCATCCTGGATGGTTTGCCGTTTTATTCTTGCACCTCTGTGAGGTCAGCTCTGTTTCATAATTGCCCTCCTTTCTCTAGCACACAAAAATACTCCCAGTCTCACGCAGGTTTTCAAAAAGGCTGCAAGAAGCCACAACCACGTGTCAGAATAAAAACAGAAGCTCAGCTTCTTTACAGAACATCGAGGGTCTTCTTGAACCTTGTCCTCTATGTTAGAACC